TAGTGCAGGATCTGTCCACTAACCATCTGAATCTCAATTTCCACATTAATAACATGCCAACCTGCCTCCTTTATAGGACTGTGTTGAAACTAACGATGGTGATAGAAGCAGAAGGCTGTATATCTTCAGTACCTACTTTATACTGTGTCACAGGATCTTCAGGTTGAAAGGGGCCTTTCTAAACCTGAGAATAGAATATCATTCCCTTCCTGGTGCATCATGTTCCTTGATAACACCGCTGTCACAGAGCATGCTGCTTCTCTCCTTCAGTCCTTTTCTTTCTGTTCGTTAGGAACCTCAAAAAATTCTCCCTGTAATTTCTATTGACCACATCTATCCCCCCCCCCAAGATGCTGAAGATGCATCTGTAATTGAAGAGCATGTTCATATGCCCTTGAATTTCTCCAGGCATCCACTGATTGCCCTTTCTTCTTGAATCCAGATTCATTTTTCCAAAGCCCTTGGTATCAGTTGGTCACTTGCAAGCAAAATAGAAACTATTCTGAGTAAAACAGAATGGCTGTAATGCAGGGAGTTGGTTACACAGGTGATGAAAGGGGCTGAAACAACCCTGAGGCAACTCAGAGATTTGCAACAGCAGGAAGCCACCAGCCAGCCTACAGAAGCATAGAAGTGGTATTTATTAATCAAAGTCTAGGAGCAGGTCACCTGGCTAAGCTAAAAGCACAGAAAACCTTTGTACCAGGGGCTGACCATGCAAGGGAAACTGCCAGAGGCAGAGAAAAAGGGAAAGAAAAATCCTGGCTTCTCTCTTGTCCTGATTCCTTCAACTCTCAGCAGTGCTTCTCTTGACTGAGTCCAGGGGAAACCCAGCCTGCAGGGCCTTCCCCTGTACCTCAGAGCAGAGCAGGGGAATGCAGGAACTGGATCTGAGAGCAAGCTGGCTCAGGATCAGCACGACCCATGCTCTGTGATCCAGCCTCCACCTACCTCTCTTACTCTGTCTCATTTATGCCCCTCCAGCTGCACTGCTCTCTGCTTCTGCTCCAGCCTGGCAGCTTTGTATATACCCATGCCCTCTGCCTAGGTGCAGGCCATCATGTGCTGGCCCCTTGTCATTCAGGTCTCAACTCAAAAGTAAGAGTCAAGAGGCCTCTCTTAACATCCCCCAGGTACATTAGCACCTGCCCCAGCTACCCTCTCACTATCCCATAGCCTGTTGTGTTTTCTTTCAAGCTTCTATTGCCATGTGAAATTATTTCACTCATTTATTGATTGAACAATCATTTGAGTGCCTAGCAAAAGCCAAGCACTGTCAGAGGCCTGGAAACAGCAATGAACAACATACGTAAAAACCTCATCCTCATGGAGCTTCCATTCTAGTGGAGGCAGACTGAAAGACTGTTGGAAGATGGTATGTGCTAAGGAACAACAGAAAGCAGAGAAGGGGTGTGCTGGAAGTGGGGTTTGCTGCTGAGAGAAGGCAGCACT